CGGGAGGGATGTGGCGGAGGAAGCGGCTGGTGCGATGGGAGCGTGCGAGCAGCTCGCGGCGCAGCTGAGCCAGGAAAGCTGGGCGGCACGGGGGGCACCAGGCACCTCTGCGGCTCCCCAAGGGCTTCACAAACGCTTGTCAGCCCCCCGGCTCCCGCTGGGAGGAGGGGGAGGGGGGCTTTGGGGGGGGGGGAAGGGGGGGCGGGGGGGGGGGCGGCGGCGGGTGGTGGGGGCCTGACGCTCCTCCAGCCACGGCTGCTTGTTAGGCAGCACAGCAGCCTTTCGTGTTCTTTCTTTTTTTTTCCCTCCCCCACCTTGCTGCCTAATTTGGGTTTGTTAATTAGAGCAGCGTTTCGCAGCTCGGCTGCGTGTGACACGGCGCCCGCTTTCACCGGCATCCTCCATGCAGTGAGGTCCCCGTCCCCCGGGGGCTGGCCGTTCGCTCCCCGGCATCCCATCGCGTCCCCACCCCGCGCCCCAGCACCCCGTGCCCTGCAGCACCCGAGCCTGGGCACGCCGGGGGCCGAGCACCGTCCCCGTCCAGCACCCTGAGGGTGGCAGCGACCGCAGCGGTGACCTGGGGACAGGGCGCAGCGTCCCTGCATCTCCCAGCCCCCTGGGTGCCGCATCCCGTCTGTGGGGACCGCGGGAGGGAGGGCAAGCACCTGCGAGCCGGAAAACTCCCCGAAAGGGCTCTCAGAAAGGTGAAGCAAGCCCCTCCGGCCAGCCTGGGGCCACACATGGCTGCACCCTGTCCCCACTGTCCCCTCCCGTCCTGCAGACCGGCACCACGGCACGCCGATGCTCCTGGACGGGGTGCGCTGCATCGGCGCGGAGCTGGAGTACGACTCGGAGCAGAGCGACTGGCACGGCTTCGACTAGCCCGGCACGGCTTCGACTAGCCCCCCGGCCCCGTCGCCGTGGCTCCCGAGGACAAAGCTCAAATTTAAAAAAAGAAGAAACCAACCCAAACCCCTCCACCCCGGGGGCTCCGCGGCCACCATGGAGCTGGGGGGGAGCTGCTGCCTCCCCCTCCCCAGCACCCTCCCTGCTGCGGGGTCCCCAGAGCGCAGGAGGGGGTTCCCAAAAGCCGGACCATCCCTGCCGGGAGCCTCGGGCAGGGATCCCACCCGCTGCCTCCCGCTGCTGCTGCTTTCCCCTCGCTTTTCTCCCCAGTCCCCCGGGAGAGGCGGCACTTGGGGGTGGCGGAGCCCCAGCTGAGCCCCCCGGGGTGAAATTTTTTGGGATTTGGAGCTGAGCTGGGCCCTGGGCCTGGGCAGGGTCCGGCAGTGGGAGGGAGGCTGGGAAGCTGGGCCGCTGGTGGCCCCCGGGCTAGTGCCAGTGTCCCTGTGGCAGTGCCCATCCACCCCTCGTGCTGCAGCCATCGCCTTCATCTCCTTCTGTTTTTCCTTTCTTCTTCTTTTTTTCCCCGGTAAGACCCATGGTACAAGGACCAGGAGAAGTGGCTCAGTTTTGAAAGCAACAGGAGGCTTTATGTGCCTATATATATATATATAAATATATAGAGATATATATATATACACACGCCTGTGTGTATGTGTGGGGTTTTCTTAAGTACAAAAATCTATAGAGGTAAATAACAAACTTCAGCTGAGAAGATGCTGGAGCTCAGTTTGCCCCCATTAACCCCCAGGAGTGTTGTAGCTGCCGGCTGCAAGCTGATTAAAACCCAGGGGGTGGGGGGGACACGGGGACG